TCAGTGACAGCCACACTTCTCAGCAAGCACCAAAGATGTCTATGTGTAGATCCTTCTACTCAGAGCACTTAGGAGCTGTTGTTGGTCTGTTGACTCAGCTGATACCTTTTCTTTTCTTTTCTTTCCTCCTCTCTTTTTCTTTCTTTCTTTCTTTCTTTTTTTTTTTTTAAAGACAGGGTTATGAATGTAGCCCAGGTTGGCCTTGAACTTGGCAACTTCATGTCTCAGCCTTCCATCTTCTGGAATTATAGACAGTGTGAGCTGCCATGCCCAGTCACCCTAGCACAAATTTATGACCCCAGTATCCCACTTTCTTCTCCCGATCCGATCCTTAGACTTCAGTTTACTTTTGCCACTTTGGAAAATTCCCTGGAAAAGCAAATAGTGGTACTGTCACTGCAATTATGAACACAAGAGGAGAGACGGGGAGACAGGCTGATTCCTCACATTCCTCTCTTGTCCACAGACGGAGAAGTTCCCAGATGGCTTTTGGCTAGGGGAGCAGCTGGTGTGCTGGCAAGCAGGCACTACCCCTTGGAACATTTTCCCAGTCATCTCACTTTACCTCATGGGTGAGGTCACCAATCAGTCCTTCCGCATCACCATCCTTCCTCAGGTATGTCCCAAAGCTGAGGCAGTGGGGTGCCAAGAAGACAAAGTATGTAAAGAGACATGGCTTGCTATGATATGACAGACAAATGTCTAGTGGTAAGGGGTCTTGAAGAACTCAACATCTCAGGGCTTGAGGAAGAGTGAAGTACGAATGGCTAGAAGGTAGAGAAAGGCAGGAAGATGGAATAAGACACGCTCTCACCCTGTGACTGTTTACTTCTAGCAATACCTACGGCCAGTGGAAGATGTGGCCACATCCCAAGATGATTGTTACAAGTTCGCCATCTCTCAGTCATCCACAGGCACTGTTATGGGAGCTGTCATCATGGAAGGCTTCTACGTTGTCTTTGATCGGGCCCGAAAGCGAATTGGCTTTGCTGTCAGCGCTTGCCATGGTGAGGAGGGTGCAGGTATCCTTGCTGTCAGCAGCTGGGATACCTAGGTCCCTTTTCTGGTTGGGAACCAGTAATAGGTGCCTCTGGCTAATCAACCGTGTGAAATCTGGGGCTGAGACTTGCTCTGGAGAACCCTGCCCTGTGGGTAAAACACTATAGGAAACCGATAGCTGCCATAGCTTCAAAGGCTTAGAAACCCTAGCTGCAAGAGCTGCTGGCTGCCCACAATAAGGCAGAATGCTACCACAGAGAAGTGCCAGGGCTTTGTAGTTGGATTTTCATGGTGACAGGTAAGTCTGCTACATGTGTAAAAGTTAGATTTTGGTCAACTCATAACTGTTGACATTTTGGTATCACTTCCAGATGGGAAAATAGGAAAGCATTGCAATCCCAAAATCCTGGAAGCACTGGCTTTCCTGCCCACTGCTCACTCTTTCCAGGAAGGGCTCTGCACAGCTTCACTTGGGTGGTTTTCCAAGGGGTCCCTGTCAGGAAGCTCTTTCAATTGTATAACCCAAACTGCTCTATGACAGTAAGTGCTACCAGTTCATCTCCACCCTTTCTCCAGTGCACGATGAATTCAGGACGGCAGCAGTAGAAGGTCCTTTTGTTACACCAGACATGGAAGACTGTGGCTACAACATTCCACAGACAGATGAGTCGACACTCATGACCATAGCCTATGTCATGGCTGCCATCTGCGCTCTCTTCATGTTGCCACTTTGCCTCATGGTATGTCAGTGGCGCTGCCTACGCTGCCTGCGCCATCAGCATGATGACTTTGCTGATGACATCTCCCTGCTGAAATAAGGAGGCCCATGGCAGATGACAGAGATTCCCCTGGACCACATCTGGGTGGTTCTCTTTGGTCACATGAGTTGGAGACATGGATGGTAGCTGTGGCCAGAGCACCTCAGGACCCTCACCAACCTGCCAAATGCTTCTGCCTCAACAGAAAAGAGAAAGCTGGCAAGGTGGGTTACAGGGCTTGCACCTGTAGGAAACAGGAGAGGGAAGAAAGCAGCATTCTGGTGGCAGGAATACCCTTAGGCACCTCAAACTTGAGTTCAAATTTTGCTGCTTGAAGCTTCAGCCCTGACCCTCTACCCAGCAGCCTTCAGATTCTCCGACCCAAAGTATTCTTTCCGTCCTTCCAGAAATATTGGTGTCATACCCAGGCTACCTGGCATGTGTCCCTGTGGTACCCTGGCAGAGAAAGGGCCAATTTCATTTCCCTGCTGGCCTAAGTCAGCAGAAGAAAATGCAGTCTACCAGTTGCTTTAGTGAGAGGAACTGCAGAATCAAACCTACACTGGTACAAAGACTGCTTCTTGAAATAGACACAAACCAATGCCATGCAATGTTTGTACTCCTGGGGGCAGTCAAGATGAGGACAGACAGGACAGAGACAGAGGAAGGAGTTGGTAGAAAACCTAGGAAAGGCAGAAATATAATCACTTTCTAGTCCCAAGTTTAGACTCATCTCCAACACAGAAGCCCATCTGGACTAAGAGAGGTGCCATTCCCCAATGTGTCTGTGGTTGTAGTCTGAAATGAAATGAGATGGGGAAAAGGGCTTATTAGCCAAAGAGCTTGTTTCATGTTCTTTTAAAGGAACAGTGCTCATGAGAAAGTCCCACTGGACAGATAAATTCCTACCTTGTTAATTCCACCTGCCTCTACCTGCTTCTTCTACATGCTAGGTGGCACCGAAGTGTCTCAACCCTGAGGTTCTAGATGCCCTCTGGGACAACAGTTAGAACACTGCAAGGCTGGGGATTGTCTTTCCAGCATAGGTTCATTCCAACCAAGGTGCTAAAAGGAACAGACAGGAGAGTTCTCCTATCTGCTCCGCAAAGGCAGAACCCTGAAGATTCACTCAGCAGGTATAGGGCTGATATCTTTGCCTCTGCCTGGATTTTATTTTTATTTTATCATTCTTGCCCAGTGGTACAAAGTGGTAAGAACTTTATGGATACTGAGTGGTTTCATTACTTTCTTGCCCTGATTAATAGCCCCTCTATTTATTTGGCTAAGACAACATCACACATCAGCTAGTATTAAACCGCGAATGTAAGAGAGAGAGGGCTTTCCGGCTCTATGTCATTGCCTTCAGTATCAAGGCTGCCTGGAGAAAGGATGGCAGCCTCAGGGCTTCCTTACTTCTCCTCCTTTCCTGAGAGAGCAGTCTTTCTGTCCTGCTCTCTGCTGCCCCTCCCAATAGTACATGGGTACCCAGGCTGGTTCTTGGGCTAGGTTGTGGGGGCCACACTCCCTTCTTCCCTGTCAGTTCTAACACAACAAACATGAAACCAGTGTTAGTGGGAAGAGCTGAATTTTCCAGGGATACGCACTGCATCTTATCCCTGTATGCTCTACACACTGCTTTCAGGTGGGGGACCTGCCAACCATGGAATTAGCTGATGGGGGAGGAGATACTAGCAGGGCCTCTGGAGTTGCTGGCCCCAGCCAGCTACCCACAAGCCATAAATTAATAAAATAAGAATACTGAGTCACAGTTTTTCAGCTGGGTCCTCTTCATTGCCCTCACACTGGTGCTGCTCTGGCTGAATGGGAATACCCTACACCTGCAGACTGCCAGGAAGATGGAGACTGTCCACTTCCAGCTCAGAACTACAGTGTAAATAAGCTTCAGGATCACACCCAGGAAATGAAAACACCACATTCTGCTTTATAATTTCTACCCCTGTTGGGAAAAACTGGCTTTTTCCCATCTCTTTCCAGGGCAAAACGACAACAAATCCCAATCCAGTTGTTATTTACCCAAGTAACTGCTGGTCTGTTTTATTTTTGTTGTTTTTTTTTTTTTTAAGGGGGAAATTTGCATTTATTTTTTCTTTTGATGTTTAACTCCTTTGTATCATAAAAACTATGAACTCTGATGTGTAAAACAAAAAAAAATCTTGACAACAGCTTCTTGCTTGTAAAAATATGTATTATACGGCTCTATTTTTAAAGTCTCCTGAAAAATGACTGGCCTACCCCCACATTGCATGTGGGGCTTTGCCACTGGTCTGCATGGATTATACCACTGAGGCCCAATGGGCAGAGGTGATGGGAACAGGGATGGCAGATTTTGAGTGTTTTTCTGACTGTTTCTCTGCAAGGACAAAACCACACTGACGAGGCTCCAGCTGGAGCAACTCTCCAAAGTGTGCTGCCATGCTAGAGCTTGCTCCGGGAGACAGTTTGATCCCAACTCATTCCTGCTTTTTTTTTTCTCTCTATTCTTTTGGCTTCAAAGGGTTGTGTTTTTGCTTTTGAGACAGTATCATATGTAGATAAGGCTGGCTTTGAACTTGTAGAGACGTCCTGCCTTTCCTCCTGAGTACTGGGATTACAGGTGTGTGCCCCTACTCCTCGATAGAAATTCTGTGTGTGTGTGTGTGTGTGTGTGTGTGTGTGTGTGTGTGTGTGTGTGAGTGTGTGTGTGTGTGTATGTGTGTGTATGTGTGTGAAGGGGGGGGATTGGAGGGTAAGACAGGGTCTCATGTAGCCCAGGTCTTGAACTCTTGACCGTCCTGCATCCACTTCCCAAAAGCCATGACTATAGGCTTGTGCCACTATGTTTGACAAGATACAATATTATTTTTACTCACTTCTAATTTACAGTTTTCAGGAGACGCTGACACAACTAGTGCCAGGCTGCTACACAACTGAAAACCGAAGTGAGAGAACAATCTTATGATTACAAGACAGAAAATGAACCCCCACGTGAAAAGAACAAAGGAAGTAGTCTTCCATTTTGCCACCTTTTCTGTTCAAAATAGTATCAAACTGGAAATAAGATAGAAGTACATCATTAAACAAAGAAAGTAGGTCACTTGACCTCTAAAAAGTTGAGGACTCAGGCCATTCTGGTCCCCCTTTAAGATGACAAGGTAGCCCTGGGAAGTCCAGTTCCGCAAACATGCTTGTCAATCAACCTGGACAAATAAGGCAGGAGAAAAAATTCATTCATGAGCTCATAGGCAAGGAAGAAAAACAGAAGAGAATTTAGTTAGCTCAGAAAGGAGAAAGTCTTTGCTATCCTAATACAAACTGCTAGATTCAACAAGCATTTCCCAGCCCCAGAATGGGGAACATCAATTGTTGATAACATAATATTGCCCTTCCCCCAGATCCAGTTTTTTTTTTTCCTCAATTAATACTTGTTTAATTCTGAAAAAGAAGGCAATTAAAGCCATTTCCTGTAGGAGTAAAGATAAAGATTGGAAAAGATTCAATGTTCTCAGAGCCACAGTTGTCCCAGACATGAAAACCACAAGTCCTCAATAAGCAGAGGTGGGAAACTATCTCACCACAGATGGGAGTCTACAAAACATGGCTTATGACTGTCAAGTCCCACTCTCTTCATCTCACATTGTCTCCATTTTTCCCTAGACAGGGAATGTGTCCCCCTTAGCTTTCTTGCTTCACAAATGAAAGTCCAATACCCCATGATTATTCTGCAAGTAATTTTGCACAGACATCTCACCCCAGTGCCTGGAGCTCACCCACGTCACCAAACCACTTGGTTGTGAACCAAATGCCTTAACCCTTGGTGGGAGGGGATAGCTAGATTAGGAGACCAGAGGAATGGAAAGGGTGAGCACTTTGCAAGCCTGGCCTCTTAGTGCTTAGTGGATGCCAAGCCAGTGGCAACAAGGGATGGTGGCTTGGCAGGGGAAAAAAAAAATCTGTGAATTGTGCTTTTCTATCCATGGAATAGAACAGACAGAAGATGGTGGGAGAAATGGGACCTGATTATGTTGTTCTTGGACTGTGGATTTTACTGACATAAAACAGAATATTCTGTATACCTGATATCAATGTATAAATAATGAGCATTAACACAGTAAAATGTTCAATGAAAGATCAAACTATCAGTTACATTTTTCCCCCTCAACCAGTATCATTTTATCCATTGGAGTAAAGTGGCTAAAACAACACCAAGGCTTCTAGAGGCCCCTGCAATGCAAGGCATCTGGTTGGACAGCAGGTGAGCACCAGGCTTCAAATCTGCATACATGAGCCTTACAAAAATGACTAGAGGCTGAGCCAAACCAAAGCAGGGTAGCCTTAGAGCAACAGCAGCTTCCTAGATGGATTAGACAACAGCTCTATGTAGAGATCATGATTTCAAGGCCAAATTAAACATCACATTCCCTACAATCTGCATCCCACCCCACCCCCCCAAAAAAAACTGCAAGATGAGGGGGAAAGGAGTTTCTGCATTATATACATACTTTCCTTACGAACATTTGAATACAGACTTTCTATACACACATTACCTATATAATAAAAATGTACACGGCATGAGTATATGTCACTGTATAAATATAGAGTTTTAGAAATCTTGAACCCACGCTTCCTGTTCACATCAGTTTCTCCTCTTCTTCCTCCCCAGTCAGGTCCATCATTTAAGAGTTGGGCAAAAGGGACAAGTGTCATTTGTGTTGGTCTGGGCCCAGAATTTGATACACTGGAAAGAAAGAGACATATACCTTAGCTGGGAAAACAAGGTCAGCAGAGAGTGCCACTAAAGATCACACGATCTAGCTCTCCAAAGTTCTCACTGGGATCAGATGGACTATGGGGGTATTTCAGTGGTCTGTGTGTTATGGGTTATATACACTTGTTAGTATGGAAGCATGATGGTAATTATGTGCAAGGAAACCTGAGGTTAACACAGGTGTCTTTTTTCCACCATTAATTTTTTGTTGTTGTTGTTTTTTACTCAATGTATGAATATGTGCCCTCAGGGCTTTTTCTTATCACGAATGTAAATGCTGAACTGAAGATGTAGCTCTGAGTGCTTGCCTAGCATGCAGAAAGCTCTGGGTTGGATCCACAACACTGCATAAGCCAGGTACGGCAACACACTCCTGTAATCGTAGCACACAGGAGGTGTACAAGATTATCAGAAGCTCAAGAGGATCATTTCAAAGTTAAAAAAGTTCAAGGTCATCCTTACGTACATAAGGTGTTGAAAGAATTTAGATGTTATTTCAGTTTCTATTACTTGGAAAAACAAAATGAACAAAACAAAATGGTTAAAAAAAATCACCCTTCTATTGGCAAAAATCACTTGTGAATCTGTCAATGAAGATAACAGACAGGCCTTCAAATATTCTGTTAATGGAGTGAGTAATCCCCTATTCAGGCCCTATCACTCCTCTCAGCTAAAGCAAAGCATAGCCATAGATTATCAGTGTTTCAGTATGGCCTGCTTATTGGTCACCTACAGAGAATGGGGTAAAAAAATCTATGAGCTCCTAGCTGCAGATTCTGAGCTCTGCTGATGGTGAGGCCACTAAATGACTGAAAACTTTATGACTAAATATTAATGATGAGTATTGACCTAATAAAATATTTACAAAAAATTAACCTCAGCTGTCAGAGTAGAGCACAAGAATGACATGCAATACCTACCTCCTTGTGCAGCGCGTGGGTGCAGGCCATTGGATGCAGCTCACTGGGCTGGACAAGTTTCTGACACATCAGACATAGTTTACAGGTGGGTGGAGCCTGTGGGACAAGAAGGCTGGTCACAGCTAGCCAACTCCAGGGTCACCTTGCCTGCTATGCCCATGGCTCCATCCGTTAGTTCCATGGAGCAAAACTATTCTTCAGCAAAAGAAATACAAGTCCTAACCTAGATTCTTGCCTAGAATATTTGCAGCATGTTCCCAGTAGGGCTGCAAACAACCCTGCTGTGGAGATAATGGTTTCCTCTAGCATTCTTACCTGGAACCCAACTCCCTCCTCACCCTGTGCTTCTCCACATCCCAGTGTTAAAAGAAAAGAGTCTTACATGTGAAGACCTTCCAGGGTATGAAACTTGGGCAGAAGGCAAGAACATTGGGGTACTGATTTGGGCCAGAGGAGCAGGGTACAAAGCCCGGATCCGACCAAGTGGCTGTGGGTAGAAATAATTTCAGAGTGAGGGAAGAGAGTCTGAGCAACAGATCATGTATCAAAAAAGAAATTGGGACCAGCAGGATGGCTCAGTGGGTAAAGGTGCTTGCACGCAAGCCTGACAACCTGAGTTCAATTCCTGGAACTCACATAGTAGAAGAAAATGGACTCCCACAAGTTCTCCAACGTCCACATATGTACCCATGAAACATACACACACACACACACACACACACACACACACACACACACACACACA